TACACCGCAGGTGACTTTCAGGCCCCCATTTCTGTGGGTCCGAAATGTGATTGATTTAGAGCAGGAGTTCTTAACCTAGGGCCTGTAACGCTAAACCAAACTGATGACTATTTCAATGCAATCGGTTTCTTTCTTAATCCTATATATTTTACTTTATGTATTTAGTCAGAGAGTCAATAAACGTTTATTAAGCACCCACTATGTGACAGGTGAATTTAGGGTTAGTGTTGGAGTAGGAATTGGTGCAGTGGATAGAGCTCTGGAAGGCTCAAATCTGACCTCAGACACTTAATAGCTGTGTGACCCTGGGCAAGTCAGTTAACCTCTCAAAGCCTCGGTTTCTTCATCTATTAAATGGGGACAATAATAATACCTACTTGCTAGGGTAGGGGCAGTTAGGTGTCACAGTACATAGAGGGCTGGAGTCAGGAAGACCTGAGTTCAAATCTGGTCTCAAACACTAGCTACGCAAGTCACTTCACCCTGTTTGCCTCAGTTTCCTCATCTGTAAAATGAGCTGGAGAAGGAAATGGCCAACTGCTCCAGTACCTCTGTGAAAAAAAACCCAAATGGGGTTACAGAGAGTCCGATGAGATGGAAGACTGAACACAAACAACATGGTTCAGCAGGTTCTGGGCCGAACTCTGAGGATGCAAAAAGAAGCAAAACACAGCCCCTGCCCTCGAGGAGCTCCCAGTTGGGTGGGGGAGCTCCCAGTTGGGTGCGGGAGCCAGGCTCAGCCTCTTAGTGCCCCAGGCCACTGCTGATACTCTAAGCTGCCTAGAAGTGCAGAGCTGCCTTAGTGGAGAGTTTTCTCATGACAAGGTTGCTTTTGTACGGGAGTCCACTGGGCGGCCGCTAAAATACCATTTAACTCTTAAATTCTGTGATTCTGTCATTGCCCTGGATGAATGAAATCGGAGGGTGCGTCTAAAACAGTGGATGTGCTGGGCCGTAGGAGTGCAAAGACAAAAATGATACAACTCCTGCCCTCCAGGAGCTTACATTCTACCCAGCAAAATAACATGTACAAATATGAGTGCATACGGTAGTTTGGGGGATAGGGGAGACTGTAGCCACTGGGTGAGGGAGGGACGGAGGAAGGGGGGTCACAGGGCACTGTCCTCACACTTTGAGAACAATATGCCCATTTCCGGAATCTGAGGCCCTGAAAAGTCAAGTGGTTGGCTTAGACACAAATAAATAGTCAGCCTGAGATCTAGGGTCCAAAATCCAGCCCTTATGGTAAACTCTTAGGCCAGTAGCAGGGACCTGTGACTTCAGTGACCTGGGCATTCTCTTCACTGATCCAGATTGCAGCAGATCTTCTTCAGAAAATTCTGATCCAGATAATACACATCTAGGTCCCACTCAGAGACATTGTGATGTGGTGGTAGAGAGAGCAGAAGAGAAGGGCACAAGCATTTATTAAATACCTACTGTGTGCTAGGCATTATGCTAAGAGCTTTACAAATATTATCTCCTTTGATCTTCACCACGACCCTAGAAAGTACGTGCTATGATTATCATACGCATTTTACAGATGAGGAAACTGAGGCAAACAGGGTTAAGTGATTTGCCCAGCGTCACACAGCTAGTAAGTATCTGTGACTGGATTTGAACTCCATTCTTCTTAACTCCAGGCTTCATGCTTTCCCCAGAGCCAGGGTCCTTTCCACTCCTCATTGCAACGTTTTTAGGCAGGTGGTACCAGTACTATTTCCCCCATCCTCCAGAAGAGGAAACTGAGGCAGCGCAAACAATAAGTAACCCACCTCAGGTCATACCCGTAGTGTCAGAGTGAGGCTCAGACTCTGATCTTCTGACTCAGGCCCGACCTTGCTCCTTCTGAGTGTTCAAGGAAATTTGATTCTGTTTATTTTTAGCATTAAGTCTATTTTCCCGTACACTAATTCGTTAAAGTGGATAACCCAGGACCAGCCTCTTTGGTAATGCTCTTACCCAGAGCATGTCTGTCCCCAGCCAGGCCAGATAAGAGTTTAGTGAAGCATGGAAACAGCAGTCCCCTGGTCCCCCCTATTGTGGGGTCACAGCTGCTGGAAGAGATGCCAGGAAAGTCCAAAATCTGTTGTCGGCAGGGCCAGGCTCATGGATTTAGCATCTGAAATACCTGGAGCAGAGACATCTGCCCCGGAGGGAAATACTCACAATTCAGTGACTCAGCAATATGAAAATGCCCTTCCAGTAGCCCAGGAACATGAGTAAACATCTGGTTACCTCCCCGCGTCAAAGAGCATGCTATATTTGGCCCTTTTATTAGACAGTTCTGGAGCATGCTGTGCTGGACGCTGGATGCTGACGCCAGCCTCCTCTGATATCCGGCTAAAGCAGCATCAACGAGAGATGCTTTTTCTATCTTTTACCCTCGTACAAGGTATAACCCAAGGGTGCTGATGGTTTGGGGCAGGACGGAGCATCAGCTCAGCTCTGTTAGCGCTGGTGTAACCTCCCTGAAGACCAAAGGTTTCCAGGGGTAGTGGAGTTGGGAGGGAGGGAGGCAACAAGCACTAATTAAGTGCCTACTGTATGCCAGGCAAATATAATCTCATTTCTTCTTCACCACAATCCTGGGAGGTAGGTACTATTATTAGTATGTCCATTTTATAGTTGAGGAAACTGAGGCTGATACAGTGAGTGACGTACCTAAAGTGTTTGAAGCTGAATTAGAATTCAGGTCTTTCTCACTCTAGGCCCAGAACTCCTAGCTGTTTTTAGGGCAACTGAAAGGCACATGTATTATTTTTGTATAGAGAAGACAGTCTACCTGTGAGACCTTCCTTAGCTCTTGGCCTCAGTCTCTCTTATTAGCCACACTGGAGTCAGGAAGACCCAAGTTCAAATCTGGCCTCAGACACTTGTTAGCTGTGTGACTCTGGACGAGTCACTTCACCCTGTTTGCCTCAGTTTCCTCAAGTGTAAAATGAGCTGGAAAAGGAAACAACAAATCATTCCAGTCTCTTTGCCAAGAAAACTCCAAACAAGGTCATGAAGAGTTGGACACGAATGAACAACATTAGCATTTCTGAAGGAAGTGCCTCCTCCTTGCTCTTGTATCAAGAGTGTCTGCTTGACAACTGTCTTGAAAACTCTTTTTTTTTCAAGTGTTTATTCTTGTGTATCTGATTTTCCAAGTCTTTTGGCCCAAACAAATTGGACATAGCCAAAATACTGCTTTAGCACTGCAGAATGACTTTCTCAGAAATGATCAACGTAAACAGAAATTCATTCTGGGATCTTTCACTGTTGGGACCTCACTATCTCAATGGGGCCCCCAAATTCATATCCTCCTTGCCGAGCACAGTGTTTGTTTGATTGACCGTTAGATGTTATCCCTGTTGTAATCAGAGGTGTTAAAAGGAGAGGCTTGGAGAAAATCCTGAGACAGATTTGTGTCACAAACACATGGTGATTTTTCTTATCTCTGGGGCCTCCAAAAGACATCCATTGAGACTAGTGAAGGATCTCCTCTTCCCTTGCCAAGGTGTTCCATGGTGGCTAGGAGACAAGATGCAGATTTTGCTTCAGGTTTTCATCTGTGGACTTAGGCTGCCTTCAAGTGTTTGAAGGATTGTCATGTGGATGAGGGATTGGCCGCACAGGGCAAGACCAGGAGCATTGTGGGAAGGCGGTGGAGGGCGGTGCAGAGGCAGATCTGGGTTTAATGCCAGTAAGAGCTTCCTAACTACTAGGGCAGCCCCAAGGTGGGATGGCAGCCTGGAGAGGCAGTGGGCAAAGGGCTTCAAGCAAAGCTGGACGGCTGTTTATCAAGTCTGGATGTGATATTCCTTTTGGGGATGGATTTGAGTAGATGGCGGCTGAGGACCCAGCCAATGCTAAAATTCTGTTTTTCTTTGAAGAAGCTTGCCAAGTGCTCCATGAGGCAGATGTGATACCCTGGGGGCTAAGGAGGAGGAAGCCAGGGTCAGCATTCAGGCCCTGTCGGGTAGAGGGGAGAGGATGCTGAAGACAGACTGGGTGAACTCAAAGGAGAGGGAGCACATCATATGAGCAGCGTGTTGCCTTCAGAGGCAGGAAAACCTAATGTGGGATCCCAGCTCCCCCACTGTGACCTGTGGCCCTGGGGTGGATCACTGGACCTCCTCTGGCTCCTTATCTGGAAAAACCAAGGGGTCTGACTACATGAACTAGGAAGGCCTTTTAGCTTTGGATCTCAACCACCCGTCCTCCTCCCCTCTCCCTTTCCCTCCCTCCCTCTCTCCTTCCCTCTCCTTTCCTCTCTCTCTCTCTTTCTCTTCCTCCCTCTCTCTCTGTTTTCCTCCCTTTCTCCTTCCCTCCCCTCTCCTTTTCCCTCTCTCTCCCTCTCCCTCCTTCTCTCTTTCCCTCTTCTCCCCCTCTCCTTTTCCCTCTCTCTCTTTCCCTTCCTCCTTTTCTCCTCCCCTCCCCCCTCTCCTTCCCCGCCCCTCCTTCCTTTCTCCTCCCCTCCCCTCTCTCTCCCTCTCTCCTTTTCCCTCTCTCTCTCCCTTCTTCCCCCTCTCTTCCCTTTCTCCCTCTCATTTTCCCTCTCTCTTCCCATTCCATCTCCTTCTGTCTTTCTCACTTTATTACATGTTGAGGCTCTAGTCTCTCTAATGTCTATTCTGATGCAACAAAGTCTGACACTGGCTTCAGTTCTCCCTTGATCCCTGGATGCTGGGGACCTTAGTGCTCTGAAGATTTGTCAGGGCAAACAAAAATAGAATCTGCGAGACGCTCTCCTGGGGAAAAGTGCAACCCAAGTCAGTTTCCTTTAACCATCCTTCTCTTGCTGCAGACAAAAGGAAGAACCGGAGAACTGTCTGGGGAACGAGAGTGAGAGGCCTGGGCCTGGGGGTGGGAAGTTGACACAGAGTCTGCTGGAGAGGAGGAGCTCTGGCTCGAGTAGGGCAGCTGCTGTGACGTCTCTGCAGCTTTTTTAAGGAAAGAGGAACATTTCCTTTTTGAAAAAGTGCCCCTGAGTGTGGATTCTGTCGTTTGAGCAGGACAGCTGGGAAGTGGTGGAAGGCCTCCGGGGAGAGATCACCTCCACCCAGGAGCCCCAGATCCAGAAGGGCTTCCTGCTGAAGAAGAGGAAGTGGCCACTCAAAGGCTGGCACAAGGTAGGGGCCCGAAGCCCGCCTCACCTGCCCCTGCAGCTTCCTGCTGGTGCTCTGGGTGAGGGTCCCAGGCCCTGCCAGGCCCCATCTGCAGAGAGGCCCCCTAAAGCCCCTTCTCTAGTTCACTTTGCCTCAGACCCCCTCAGTGACATGTGCTTTTCTTGCAACAGAGATTCTTCTTCTTGGAGAAAGGGATCTTGAAGTATGCCAAGAGCCTGGCTGATGTAAGTCTCTAACCATTGTTCACTTGGGCCCCAAAGGGCCCCCTGTCTTCATCAGGGTTGGAGAACTCATCAGTAGCATGTACCTGAAAAGTGGGGAGCTGGCAGGGGTGGGAAGTGGTAACCTCACTTTGTTGAGATGGGCCCTCAAGGGATTAGAGTTGGAAACTCTAGGCCATGGTGTTCATTCCAGTGTGATGTGATTCTGACCAGATAGAGAGAGAAAAGCTCCATGGATCCATTGATGTTGGGCTCTCCGTGATGTCTGTCAAGAAGTCCTCAAAATGCATAGACCTCGATACAGAGGAGCACATCTACCATCTGAAGGTAAGGATGCTTCCCAATGGGACTCCGTCATGGTGCCCGTCATGACCAGTGCTTTGGGACTCCATTGTGGTGCCCGT